GTATCATGTCCTTGGGCATGACCATGGCAAAATGATGCAATTCTCAGGAAAAAAAAAACCCAACAAAAAACACTTCCAAGTATCCTCAGTAAGAAGCATCTGGCATGAGAAAGCGGCAGGTGCCAGGATGAAGGAATGCTCTCCACAAAGCCGCCTTGACTCCCTTCACTGGTAATCTGCTGACAGGCCATCAGCAAATCTCACACATCAAGGATGTCACCATTTTCAAATCAAGATCTTTGGTGAGCACATCCAGCCCACGGATGGGAGGAGGGAGCAAGAGGGAGCAGGAGATGACTAAGATACAATCCTCTCAAAGTGCTTTGGTCACCCACTCAGGCGCTTAAAACTCACCCCAAAATCCTTAAATTAAAATCTGTAGTTGACTGAGACAACAGAAGGGGGGGGGGGTCATGAGACAGCACGTGACCAAGTATGTTTTAAAATGCTCATTATAAAAGTCAAAGCTGCGTCCGTCTGAGGCCCGACAGGCCTGGGAGTTGCCAGGAGGAGAACATATCTGCAAGGGACAGCAGGCACATCACCAAACTCATAAAGGGCTGTTATGTGCTGGTGCGTGGGGTGGCTGCAGGGAAAATGGGGCTCAGCCTGTGGACAGATGTTCCTTAGCCCTTAATTGGAGAGGACGTGGAGGCCAGTTTCCGCTGAGTGCCAGCCACCCAGGGCCCTGACGGCATCGGGTCTCAACCTGTGGTTTTGAGAGATGCCCTGGGTCTCAGATCAGATATCCTGCATATCAGATATTTATATTACGATCCGTAACAGTAGCAAAATTACAGTTATGAAGCAGCAATGAAGTAATTTTATGGTTGGATGGGTCGCCACCACATGAGGGACTGCGTTAAAGGGTCGCAGCTTTAGGGAGGTTGAACACCACTGCCTTAGAGTCACTGTTGACCGCTGTGCAGAGCTGGAGTGAAGGGAAGAGGACATTCTCTGGAATCTACCCCTACCCCTTGGCACCCAGTCCTACAGAGGCACCTGACCTGCAGCCTCAGTCTGCAATAGCAGACGGCTCACCTTGCCTCTCTCAATTCTTCCTCCCCACCCCCACCCCCACCACACACACCGAGATGTGTCTGGTGAAGGCTAGAGCCCCTCGAAGGCTCTGGTAACTTGGGAGGAAGATGCCGACCCTGCAGGAGCACTGTCCCTCAGACATCTGCTCCTGTCCGTCTTTTTCGGTGTGCGTCTGGTATGGGTCACCCTCTTACGCTCCCCACCATTGTCGTCCATGTTAGGGCTAACCAGGAAGACCCAGACAGCTAGCTACCTGAGTACCAGCAGCACTGCATGCCCCCCCCCCACCCCCGATGCAAGGAATGACCTCACCCTAGGTCCACAGCACCAGCCCGGGATCCCACCTCGTTCGGGGCTGGCACTGCCAGCCAGTCTATAGTCCATAGGCCAGGTGCTATACCACTCATTCGGCTGGCATGCTCTCTTCAAGCCTGGAGGTATCTTCTGGCGAGTGGGCACTCAAAGGTGACCCATTTGGACCAGCTCCTTGGTACTTCTGGAGGCCTCACGCCTACCTGTGGTTGATCATCTGCCCCAAGGTAGCTTCTTCCTTACCCTGCTCCAAGCCTGACATTCCTCTTGGGAATCCAGCTGTCTCTGCCCACCAGTCTGGAGGGATGCCACCACAATACCAGGAATAGAGATCAGGAGAAGGCTGTGTCCTTCCAGCTGCCTCCGTCCCCTGTCACCAGCAGACTCAGCTCCTACAGGCAAGCTTATGTTTCAGCATTCAGGTGCATCTGGCTCAAGTGCCCTAGTATAGAGGGCAAGGGGGCCTCCAAGATCACATAGGAAGGGAGAGCTAGGGTAGGGTTTAGATCAGACGTCAGGGTCCTCCCTCCACAGCACAGGCTGCAGAGGATGCTGGGATGCAAAACTGTGCAGAGGTAAGATAGAACAGGGCGGCAGCAGCCTCACCGCACCAGGCTTGAGGATATACATAGCCTGCAACTCACAGACACCAGGAGCTCTGTAAACCTGAGGTAAACGACTCAACAATGACACAACTAAGAGGAAGGAATTATTCAGGGACTTCAGGCTGTCTGCCAGAAGAGAGCAACGTGGCCAGCCGTCAATCTCACTGCTGGATTATGTTCCAAGAGCCCAGGAACCCTGCCCCCAACCAACTAGCCGGGCATTCCCACCAGGTCACCCAAACAAGCTATTCCCGAGCCCATATTTTCTCTCAAAGAGGTTCCAGAGTTGGCTTCCCCCACTGAAGGTCATCCTATTCCCAATGACACACTAGTGGAAAATGGTAGACAGGAAGTGTGGATTCCTGCTCCCAAAGTGCTCACAACTCACAGTGGGTCTCTGGACAAGCCCTCCCCATTCCCTGGAGCTCTCTCCCCACATGAGCACGCAGGGAAAGGTAGGCTCTCATTTCTGTGACTTCAGACCTGCAGGGTTTGTCAAAACTCTTAGCAGGGGGTTTCTGCCCATCAGCCCAGTTTCTAAGGGAGCCCAGAGTTTTCACTCAAACTCACCACAAATGATTCTTTATGGAACTGTGTTCAGGCTTGGAATAAACAAATATTCTTTGAGACTCTAGCAAAAGTCTGGGTTCTAGGGTAAAAAGGAGGCATAAGGGCTGCTTCCGGCCACTCATTATTCAGAGACACAAACCGAGTGTCAAAGAAGCCTCAAATTAGGCAAACAACAACACAGTTGAAACTTCCATCCCAAGGCTGTTGTACCCTGCAGGTTTCCTCCAAGGGCTGAGGTGTATCCAAATCCTTTCCACACAGCAGGGAATGGAGGTGTCCTTTGTGACACGGGGATCTAATCAGACCCAGCTGTCTAATCCAGCTGCTTGGGGTGTGATTGGAAATGTCCCAAACCCAGCTCTCCAGGACAGGCAACCACTTCTACCACCGGGATCCCAAGCCTCCATCTCAGGTACTGAGCAGACAGGAGGTGGCCATGTGACCTCCACAGCCCACAGGAACACGTCATAGCTGCACTGTGCCTGAGCCCTCCAGGTCCTCCCACAGCCTTCCTTCTCTTGGCCTCTAAACCAGCTAGCAGGACTGGTTTACAGAGCTAGAGCTGGGGATCCCGCCCCCCTGGGGATCCCCTTCTCCTCCAGCAGAAATGCTCAGAGCCCAGCCTGTCTCTTAACCCTCTGGTGATGAGGCTCCTGGACCGAGGCTCTCGTGGAGCCAGCCACTCCTTTCTACAGGTATCAGAGGGGTCGCTGCTCTTCAATCTGGGCTTCCCACCTTGGACCAACCTGGGGATTGGGGAGGCTCCTGAGGAGCAAAGAAACCCTCAGTCTCCCCTTCCTTGGGCTCTGGCTGGCTGCCACGGTGACCTCCCCTCCCCCAAGAAGGGCGGTGAGCTGGGAGATGGGGGGTGGGAGAATCCACCGGCTCCACTGATGCTCTCTGGAGGGGGCAGGGAAGCTAGGCAGGGCGTGTCGCCTAGGCCTTTCTCTGCCCACTGCCAAGCTCCTTGACACGAGATGCCTCTGTACCATCCCCCAAGTCATCTGCTACGGGGAGAATCTTCACTCTCACGATCCACACCCCTGAGCCCCAAAGAGGCTAATGCATTAGCGAAGGACACCGGGTCTAGAATCTTCTGCCCATTTGGCTGTAAGACACAGGAGCTAAGTGCTAAGTGCCCCGTTCCTCACCTGCACCCACTCTTTTCAAAAAGGGACAGGTGTGTCCCCCATTTCCCAGCGACCATCTGCTCCTGAGCTGAACCGGTCCAGGCAGGGTCCGCATGGAACCCCTCGGGCGCAACCTTGAGGAGGGGGCAACCAGCCCCCAGCCCCACCTCACTCTCTCAAGAGAGGCTCCTGTCCCCTCGCCCACATCCTCCGCCGGGACCCAGACACCTGCAGGGTGCTCCGCAGCCGGTGCCGCAGTGCGAGCTAGTCAGCGAGCCCGCGAGCCCGGCGCCCAGAGCTGCCGAGCCAGCCGCCGCCCTCAGTCCTCCCGGAGGCACCTGCACCGGGTACCCCTACCCAGATCCTACCCTCACCCTCATCCCCTGACCCCGAAGCCATCTCCATCCTTTCCCCGCGCTCCGGGTCCTCCCCAGCCCGGCCCCGCCCGAGCCGGCCCCTTCTCTCCATCTGCATCCCTCTCCTCCACCGGGGCGTGGAAGGGCCTCGGCGAGTCCGGGCTGGGAGGGTCCCCAGTGGGGTAGTTGAATGGGCGGCGTGGGGAAAGAGGACTCGGCTCCGAGCCGAGAGAATACGCCGAGTACTCACCGCTCTGCTCCCCCAGGAACACCAACTTGAATTTTCGCAGCGGGTTCCCAAAATCTCCCCCTGCGGACATGGTGCTGGCAGCTGGGGCCGGGAGAGGAGGAGGAGGAGGAGGAAGCGGCGAAGGAGCAGGGAGGGGAGAGGAGGAGGGCGAGGGGAGGCGGCGGGCGGTGCGGGAGCCGGAGGGGGAAGGGCTGGCTGCGCGCGCCCCTGACTCCCCAGCTGCTGCCCGGCCCCGGCCTGCGGCTGCGTGTCCGACGGCGGCGACGGCGGAAAGGGAGGAGGCAGGGTGCGCGGCGCAGCCAAAGGTGGCGCTGGCTGCACGGGCGGCGGGCGCGCTGTGGACGCCCGAGGCTCGGCGCGGGCAGGGAGGCAGGCACGGGCGGAGAGGGGTGCAGGGACCGAGCTGGGCGGAGAAGCGCTCTCGGAGCAGCGCCACGCGCCCCCTCCCGCCCGCCTGCTCCGCCCGCGCCTGCGCTCTGCGCGCTCCCCAGCCTCTGATGTCATGCGGGGCTCGTGGGTTTGCGGGGCTGGGATGTGGGGAGGCGTGCGCCAGCACCCCCAACTCCCCGCCGCCGCAGCCCGCCCTGGAGAGCCACCTCCCCTCGTGCCTACGAAAGGTGTCCCTTTAGGGCGGTTCGCTCTGCCTGGCTACTTCTGTCTCCCTCACCCACTTGGGGGGCGGGGGGAGACACGATGTGGTCAAGGAGACATTTGCCTCTGGTCTTTGACACCTAGATGCGGGTCCTTTCCTCCTTCTCAGACACAGATGCGCAGAACGGTGGTCGGACAGGGCGGGAAGGTAGGAAAGGGCCAGTGTGTGGTATGGTGGTGAGGAGGAAGAAGTGCAGATACCTGGCGCAGACTCGGGGTGGGGCTCCTCTGTCGTCCCTGGTGGCCTCTAGCTCGCTCTCTCTGGCCCAAACTCTTCACGGGGAGGGGTCTGTGCTTGTCCCCCCGCAGAGCTGGCCAGAGGAAGAGATGACTCCCTTACAGGACATGCTGACGGCAGACCCACTGGTTTGAATCCTAACCTGTTCCGTGGGAAAGAAGGCCTGGAGGAAGTCAATTCCACTAACCCCAGGACAGCGCCCTGCTTTTTTTTGACCCTGAGGCCACCAGCCCAATCACAGTCTTCCGCCCCTCTAGTTAGGTTTATTTGGGTAATGAGCCCCAAGACCCATCTCCTATTCACCTCTGTGCTTGCAGGGCACACACAATGGGGTGAGAGCAAAGAGTCACCGCCAGACTAGGACTAAATGCACCCCCCCAAAACAGCCCAATCTAAAACATCCGGTTAATTGAGGCTTTACAAAGCCCCACTCTTTCTCTCCTGCCACCCGCTGGTCTCGACCTTGTGGGGCCATTCAGGGAATGCTTGTTTGGGAACGTTCGGAATGCATAGTGTGTGTGACACAAAGAGAGCCAGGAGTGTAATGCACCCCCAGGCCTACAGATTTCCCAGGGGACGTTTGTGAATTTACCCAGAATGTACCCACTAGAGTCTCCCACGGCCTGTTAAAGCCTCACAGGAAACTCAATGGAAACAGCCGCTGAGTTTCCACCCCATGTCCCAAGGACCTTCACTCAGAGCTTAGGAAGTAGTTGCCGAATGCTCAGATCAACGTCTAAAACTCAAATCGGAGTAACTGTTCTTTTCTCGAGGTCTTCATTGGTTTGGAGTCCCTGGGGTTGGAGGTCAGCTCCCTGAGATGCAGTAAGCATGCTGTGTTTAGCACAGGGTTCAGGATAACTCTCCCAGCTTTCACTCCACTCCTTGCCCTGAATTAACTGCGGTCTCAGGAATCAGCATGGGCTGAAGGAGTTCAGGCAGGTGTATCCACAGGTCACATGGCTTGTGAGATAGCTATGAATGCACCCCCAAGGCCGTACTCTTTTATATAAAACATTATGAGATATCGGGCTGAGTTTTAATTTTATTTTTTGCAATCTTCTTGTTATTGTCCTTGGTTCCATTTTGTGGTTTTCTAGTGTCAAGTTTGTAGCAATGTTGTGTCTCAGTGTCAAGAGGTTGGACACCCCACCCCTGTTCTCTTACTCCCACCCCCTCTCCCCCCTTCCCCCCCCCCCCCCCCCCCCCCCCCCCCGTCTCCTGCAAAGAGGAAACTACTCCTAAGCCATAGCCCTCCCTGCCTGTGATTAAAAGGCCAGTGGAGGCCCAGGCACCCACGGAGGTCACATTGTCCCTTCTCCTCACAGCCTCTCATGCTGGCCTTGAGGACATCACTGAGGCAGGAGAAAGCGAGGGAGGTGTGATGGAGAAAGCAAAGTCTTCAGGGAGAGCCTCCCTCAGTCCTGACCATACTTCTCTCATCATGTGACCCTGTGCCTTCTCTCTGAATGTCTGGTCCTTCACACACAGGTAGGGTGGGCATTTGGGAAGGAGGAATGAGGCAGGGGCCCTCTGGGCACCTCTAAGCCTCTGGGGCGGGTCATGGGGCCAAACTCCAAGTCCAACTGGGCTCAATGTGTTCAAGTCCAACCATGGACCAGACTATATGGCAGGATTCTTCCAGTGAAGATGCCTCTAGTTCTAATGATAAAAGCTCGGTCTGCTGGCCTGGCTCCTGTAGTCTGGACAGGGCTCGCGTGATCTTCAGGCTGTGGGAGTCCTAGCCTCAGACACTAGGAATCTGCTCTGTTCCAAGCCTCTCTCCTACAGTTTCACTCCTTTTATCTTTTTTGGGGAAGGGACTATCCTTATTCTGTCCTGGGGTATCAGAAAAAGTAGCTACTATAAGCGTGGAGTTGGCAACCCCATTAGAGAGAGTTTCTTCCACATAGCATCCGTTGAGTAACTGGATGGGAAACATGGGACGAAATGGCATCACCTGCTTCCTAATATTTTTCATGCCCCTGAGTGTGTCCCCCCCACACTTTTCTTCTTTTCCCAACTCAGAGAACCCAAACTCTGGCTTCTCTTTCAGCTGCAGCCTGCTTAGATGAACCTCTCAACACTTCCGTTTCTTTTGAGTCTTTAGAATTTATATTTCAAACTCGGTCCTATGACTTGCACTTTCCCTCTCATCCTGCTCCCAAGATTCCCGTTGCGGTACAGAGGCTTTCGTTCCCACGACTGCTTAGTATTCCGCTGTCTGCCCCAATTCGAAACCATTTTCAGTAAAAATGTGTCCAGTTTTTAAAGCTTAAAATAATTCTAGACTAACATAGAGGTTTCAAAAAATAGTACAGGAAGTTTCTATGTATCTTCATCCAACAACCCCACGATAACATCTTACATAACTACAGTACCTTAGCAGAGCCAGGAAATTAACCATGGAAAGAGCACCCAGCCCTCTTTCTGCTCTGCAAATGGTATGGATAGGAATGTTCTCTGTCAGTCTCCTGATGCTCCCATGAAAAGGTTCCAAAGCTCTGCATGGAGGAGATATGTCAGGAGGTAGAACCTAGCACACACTTTGATCACACCAAAGATCATTGCCAGAGCATATACCTACCTTGCTCCCCATGTTTCTTCATGTTCTTCAAAAAGATCTTGGATAACCACCCTTGGCTATTTACGTTAAAAAAAAAAAAGTACCACAAATTACTCTTTATTTGGAAGTCATTATATGTTCACAAGCAGTTGCAAGAAAGACAGACCCTGTGGGTCCTTTATCTTTGCCCCCCTTCCTTCATGGTAGCATCTTGCAAGTTTGTTGTCACAGCCTGTATATACACAATCAAGAAGAAAGCATTCCCATCACCACGAGGACCCTCCGGTTCCCACTCTCAATCACTGAACTACTTAGTTTTCTTAAACTCATCATCTCAAGAATCTGAGCGAAATGACATATTGTGTCATGTTAGAGGGCTGGCTTTTCTTTTCTACTCAGGGTAAGTCCATGGAGATTCCCAAGATCCTGTTTGCTCATCCCTTCAGCACCAAGAGATAATGCTATGGTGTAGACCACAGTGGCTTGCTTATTCCCTGAAGAAACCTTACTTGATTATAATAAGCTATTCTTTTATATATAAAAGTTAAATTTGACCTAAAATTTGCCCCCCCCTTTTTTTGTCTGCTTTTGTGAGTGATGTTGGCCTGCGATATTTTTCTCTTATAATATCATTTGGTTTGGGTAGCAAAAGTCATGCTTGGCCTCACAAGATGAACTGAGAAGTACAAGGGCGTCATCAGTTTCTGGCAAGAGTTTGTACAGAATTGGTATTACTTCTTTAAAAGTTGGATGGAAGGACTCAGGAGATGAGTCAGCGCTTAAGAGCATTTCCTGGGCTTCCGGAGAACCAGAGTTCCATTCTTAGCACCCACATCAGGCAGCTCATGACCAGCTCAAGGGGGCCCTGACTCCCTCTTCTGGTCTCCATGGGCACTCACACACATGTAGTGCACACTCACAGACACATATAAATAAAGATTTTTGGGTTTTTGAAACAGGGTTTCTCTGTGTAGCTCCGGTTGTCCTCTGTAGAGCAGGCAGACCTCAAACTCAGAGACCCATCTACCTTCGCCTCCTGAGTGCTGGGATTAAAGATGTGAGCCACCATGCCCAGATAAGATTTTTGTTTCCAATGGGAAAAAAAAAATAAGTTGCTTGGAATTAACTAATGAAGCCATTAATTCTTGGTTTTTCTTTATGGGAAGATTTAAGAAATACCAATTCAGTTTCTTCAGTAGAGACTAGGCTCTTTAGCTTATTTGTTTTCTTGAGGGATCACCAACAGTCAGTATCTTTCAAAGAATTTTTCCACTTAAGCTGTCCAATTTATTTATGTGAAGCTATTTGTAATGTTGCTTTATTAATCGTTTAATATGTAAACTCTGTAGTGATATGTCTCCTCTTCCAGATATTGACAGTTTATGTATGTCTTCTTCCCTGCCTCCATCCCCACCTCCCAGAATTCTGTCTAGAGGTTTATTGATTGCCTTGATCATCTTAAACAATGCACTTTTGATTTATTGATAGTATTTGTTGGTTTACCTTCTGTGATTCTTGTGCAGACAGCCATAGCTGCTGTGAGCTCATGAGTGCAGGGGTCCTGTCATATACAAGAAAACCAGAAGACACTGTTTTTAGCGTCTGGATCTTACAGTCTTTCTTCTCCTTTTGCATGGTGTTTCCTGAGCCTTGGGGTGGGTGGGGGAAGGGTGTCAAGCACAACAGTTTGAAGCCATAACCCTCACTGTGATTTGTGTGAGAAATGTCTCCCATAGGCTTACCTATTTCAACTCTTGGCCTCTGGTTTTGATGGAATCTTTGGAAGGTGGAACCTTACAGTAAGAAGTATGTCAGCTGGGCCTGGCCATCAAAGCTTATAGCCTTGTCCCATTTCTAGTTGTTGTCCCCCCCCTTCTCTGTTTGTGGTTGGAGATGTGATCTTACAAACTCCCTGCTGAGGCAATCAGCTACCATGCCTCATCTGTCATTATGGACTCTCCCGCTGGAACTGTAAGCCAAAATTAGCTCTCTCTTTTGTAAGTCATGTCTGGTTGTGGTGTTTTATCCAGCAACAGAAAAGTAACTAATACACTCTTTCACTTCTTCTCCCCGTAGGCTCATGACCACAGAACATGCATTCATTCCAACGTTAAAGGTCCCCATAGTCTTTAACAATTTCAATATTTTAAAAATCCAAAGTCTCATAACTGTCAGCTCCTATATAATGATAATAATTATAATAACACATTTCCAACATATAAAGACACGGAGTGAATATATTTAAAAATGGAAGAACCGGGGCATAGCAAAGACCAATCACACCAATGCAAAACCCACCAGGGCAAATAGCAAATCCTGCAGCTTCCTGTCCAGCATCTGGAGCTGGTAATGTAATCAACTGGGTTCTAAAAGGCTTGGGCAGCGTCACTCCTCTGACTCGGCCACCTGTAGCACACACAGATTCTCTCCTATGCCACCTCCCCTCCATGCCTGCCGTTCCCCTTGACAGACAGATGTCGCAGAGTTCTGACAGGGCTGACATCCTGAGGTCTCAATTACAACCAAGGCTTCACCTTCACAATTTGACACAATGGTGTCTTGGTACCTCTATTCAGAGACCCCGGCCCTGCTACACACTGCCAGGCCTCGGCCTTTCATCAAAAGTCTTCAAATTTTCTAACCTTTACGCTGTCAGATTCAGCTACTAGCTTGGGATGGAGCCTGGTACCCCTGAACCATTGTCATATCAGCTTCTGTGTGTTGGCCTTGGGGAAACACTTGTGTAGGCAGTTCCTTTCAAGGAGCAGGGAATTCCTTGAAGTCAGGCTTTCTTCACTTAAATGAACTGGATCTTCCAAAATCGAGCCTCCTATGTATGAGGTTATTTGCCTTCGGGAATTTTTTTTTTTTTTAATTGTAAGCTAAAATGAACCCAGTTCTAGTTTGGTTTCTATTCCTGTGATAAGCACCAGGACCAAAAGCAAACTAAGGAGGAAAGGATTTATTTTACCTCCCAGACTACAGACAGTCCATCACTGAGGGAAGTCAGGACAGGAACCGGGAGGCAGGAACTAAAGCAGAGGACATAGAAGAAGAGTGCTTACTGGCTTGCTCCTCATGGCTTGCTGAACCTGTTTTTTGTTTTGTTTTTGTTTTTGTTTTTATAGAATCCAGGATCACCTACCAGGAGTGGTACTGTTCCGAGTGGGCTGGGTCCTTCCTACATCAGTCAATGAAGAAAATGTCCCTACGGACTCGCCTACAGGCCAATACGATGGAAACATTTTCTCTGCTGGGGTCCCCTCTTCCCAGATGGCCCATCTTGGTTGAAGGTGACAAAAAACTAGCCAACACAAACCCTTATGTTTTTATCAGAGTATTTTACCACAGTAACAGGAAAACAAACTAAGGCATGGTTGTGCCATTAATTTACAACAGAGCTCGACTCACCTATGAGTCTGCATCCTACTTTGGGCTCTCCTGACAGGCTAGTTTGCATGTGACATTTCCATACTGTGAAACTATTTATTGTACTAATCCTACAGCTCTTGTATGACATGTCCACTATCACAGCACCACACAGAACAGTCCTTGGAGTCCCTTCTCTCACTCACAACAATAAATAAACCCCTTCTCCCCAGTCTCAGGCAGCCACTGACCTGCTTTCTGCTCCTTTGGCTTTGTCCTTCCAAGAATGTCACACAAATGGGATCATTCAATACAAATAGTCTTTGGGATCTATATTATCTCACTTAGAAAAACTGGTTAAGCGTCATCCATTTTGTGGACGGACTAAATTGTTCACTTATTTTTATTGTTTGGTAGTATTCCATTATTTAGATAGGTTATTGTTTTTTTTTAATTTTGTTTCTCAATTACAGCACCATTTTATTGTTTCAAATTGGGGAGATTATAAATAAGGTTGCCATCTATATTCACATACAGATCTTGGTGTTAATATATACCTCTGGGCCACTGGCATGAGTGCCCAGGAGTTATATTTTTTCTGTCATACGACTAGCTTTGAAGAAGTTTCTGGGCTGTTTTCCACAAAAACATGGCTAATATCAATATCAAAACTTAAACACCGAAACAGGACAAAATATTTTCCTTTAAAAACACAGCTTTATAATTTTTATGGAGTGTAATTTGCTCTAATTGTTGCATTACATAACCTATTGTATCATTGTGTCACAGGATTTTCTATAATTATGCATAAGCACTTTGTGCTTCTAGTCAGTGCTAATGGATTGACTCAGCATGAATTTTTTTTTACATATTTATATATCAGTATAATGGTGTGATATTATATCCAGATAATATAGGTACAGTGGGACCTATATAAGATGTAATTACTAATGAAATTATTTTCCTAGTTTAGAAGTGACTCTATAGGGTCTATGGAAATGGCTTACTGGGTAATAAAGCTTGCTGTGTGGGCTAGTCTGAGAACCTGAGTTCAAATGCCAAGAACCCACATTAAAAAGCGGGTGTGGTCGCATGAATCTGGAAAACCCTTCACTGCCATGGTATAGGGACAGGAGGATCCCGGGGCTTGCTCCCTGCCAGCTTCGCTACAGGTTCAGGGAGAGACCCTGCCTCAAGGGAATAACATGGAGAGTGACAGAGCGGGGCACCTGACCTCCTTCTCTGGCTTCTGTGTACACACACAGGCACACAAAACCACACATATGTGCATACGACACACACTCCACACAGTAACTAATTCATTAAAGAGAAACAGAGTGTACAAAGCTTTAAGGATAAAATGGAAGTATAAACGTAGACTCTAGAGGAGACCATAGTACCATGAACAAAAGAAAAAGAGAGCAGGGGTCTGGGAGCTGGCTCCCCCTGTCAAGCTCTTGCTGCACAAGCATGAGGACCTGAGTTTGATCCCAGCACCCACATGAAAGCTGGGCGCGGGTATGCATGCCTGTGAACTCAGTGCGAGGAGGTGGAGATGCTTGCTGGCCAGCCAGTCTGGCCAAACTGGTGAGCTTCAGGCTCAGCGAGAGACCTGTTTCAAAGGTAAACTGGAAGTCAATCAAGGAAGGCACCCTGATCTCTATTCTACACACACACACACACACACACACACACACACACACACACACACACACA